AATCTGCTTTTTTGCGCTACACGGGTTTAGCTAGCAATAGCTATTTTAATTAGCTTTGTAGCCCCATAGTAAAAATGAATATAAAACCCTTTCTGTCAGAGTCCCTGAAAGCAAGAGGACAGTGGGCCACTGATGGCCCACTGATGGCAAAGCTGGCGGCCCATATATATATAGTAAGTTAGTTTAGTAAATAATTTTAATCCAGCACAACATTTTCTATCATTTTATATCAGGCCTAGTCATTATTTTCTTCCTCTCAGTTGGTTGTTATATTTTTCTTATTTTATTTTCCAAAATAAAAGTCTCTATGCATTTCAAATCTATTTGAGGACATTAAAAACTAGTTAGAACTTGTATGCAGTACAGTAATCTGGGTGGTCCGAGGGTGGATCAGCAGTGAGCAGTCCAGCAAACTTTCAGCAGGGGGCTGACCTTATCAAGCCAGCGGACCGATATATGCTTGCTGTCTGGGGTGCTACTAGATGAAATACATTCAGGGTTATATTTGAAGTGAAACGCAGTATAAATTTAAAGTTAATAGGTTAGCGGTGGCTATTTATAAAGCTAGCTAATGTTAGGTGTATTAGTAACATTGCCATGTGCTGGCTAGGCTAGTCTTGCTTACTGTTAACAGGTCAGCATTGTGACTGTCAACACTGAGTGAGCAGGAAACCTCAGCCCTGCCGGAGCCCTGCTATCTGCTAATTTCCATCCACTAACTCTTCATTAATGGTTAGTTTCTGACCACAGAGCCACTTTTGTTTGGATATTTTTGGGTTGTGGACTCATATGCTCGCTATCTGGGTCTTAGCATAGGAAGCATCAACATCAACATGTGAATACCCCAGCAACACCTTTGGTTCTTCTCCACAAGAGATAAGTCACTGTATTGGTGGCCAAACTTGTGATGCGCCTGTTAAGAATGAGCTGATTGTCCTGGACATGAGAGGCAGACCCTGGAATGACCTCAACTGTGTCCTCTAAGTGAAATTACAGCTTTAAAAAACAATGTACATTCTTTTTGCAGCACAATGGATATTCTTCTCTGAAGTGACATGTTTTTCCTTCACACTCGTGGAAAAAATGTGCAAACCAGAAACAGCTGAAATAACACTGGCCTAATACATTGGACCAGTGCCGGTACATAGAAAGTGAATCTAAAGAGCTCTTTATGCAAGATGTGGTAATAAGGGAAGTGAGAGCTTTAGTGAAACTACTACTTTTTTACTTTTGCTATGCTGTACAGTTTCAATGTGGCACTGACTGGATTGAGAGCTTTTGTGTGTGGATGTCAAAGCAGTTTCTCCACTTAGGAATGCCTGCAAAAAAGGGATGTCATGTTTTTTTCTCATTTCCCAAATAACAAGCATTTATCAGCCCACTTATCAAGGTTGATATCCTGCTGACTGTGTGTCACTGCTGGTCCACCCTCGGCCCACCAAGATTAATTTACCACATAAAAAATCGAAGTAGTTTTTAATCTCCTCAAACAGTGCAAACAGTGCCCTTTAAATGTGCACAGACTTTTATTTTGGAAAATGAACTAAGACAGTTATTAGGAACAATTGAGAGGAAAAAGGATGACTAGGCCTTGTATAAAGTAATAATGTTGACAATGTTGTTGCTAAAACTGTGCTAGATTGGTTACAGCTGTATAACTGGCCTTATCTATGATATAACTGTGTATAACTGATGATAAATTAAACAGATAAATGAAGGGAAAATAAGTAAATTTGTTCTGTGAGTGGAAAGTGAGCGATGAAAAGTGTCATTTTGTCTACACTCTGCTTAACCACCAGTTAGCCGCCCAGAAAACGCTGAGCAAAAAGCCAGTGGGCCGCCAGCGTTGCCATCATCTTGCTATCTGGGTTCATCTATAAATAACTGATAATATAACATCATCAGTCCAGTCTCAAAAGCTTGGGCTGGTTTGCTCCTCATCTACTGCGGTTTGAGAGCTTACTGGGTGGGTCGTCATTTTTCCCAGCAGAGTTTTTCATGCATCTTCACTCAACTTTGTGGGTCTGGGTGAGTATGAAATGTAATGATGTTATAACTGGGCATGCCTGAAACCCCTCCTTCGTCCAATCTAACAACCTATAAATTCACATCCTCGCCTTTCGTTCCTGTGACGAAGTGTTCGCCACCCCATCTCCTCCCTGTTCCTCAGTCCTACATCAGTCCTACTACAGCTATGAGGGGGTCTGGCCTTCTAGCTATAGGCAGAACTCCAGCCCAAGTTCTCAGTTCTTCCCCCTCCCTCAATCGGTCATCCGTCATACTACCTCCACCATGTTGACGGCATGGTCTGAACTCACAACCATTGTCTTGTAGATTGTGCCAAACATATTCGTACAAAGATCGAACCATTTTCAGAAATTCTAGGTGCTGATATCTTAAACACATCTGGTCTAAAATGATCACTTTTCATTACACTAGCTGATTTTTTTCAATAAATATGAATAAAGTGAGACTTTCGCTTCTTCTAAACTCATAAAAACATCCTTGGAACCGTTAAAGGAGCGCTCCATCCAAAATTAACAATGCAATCTTTGCTACATCTGTTGTAGCCGAAAGTACCCACCTCCTACAGAGGCGCCATAATAGCCTCTAGGGCGAGATTTTTCATTTTAAAGACTAGGAAAATTCTCGTCTGATGATGTATCTTGAAGGTGGGAGGAGCTTTTGAAAACCACAAGGACTTTTGGATGGACACTGGAGGGCTGTTGGAATGTTTTTCCTCGTAGCTGGATAATGTCGAAGGAAGCTAAGTAGCTAACGTTTCTGCTAGAAGGCCAACTAGCATGTCTGTATTTAGTAGCCTCTACAGCAGTGGCTATGCTAGCAGTAAGGATCGCCAGGGATGCCCAATAGTTGTTTGACGTATTTATATAATGCATGCTGGGTATTGTAGTGAGAGAACACTGATGGATGAAAATGCAAAAAGGATCCAAAACGGCTGTCAAAAATTCTGTCAAACTGACGAGGCTGAGGGTGCAAAGTCTACAGAGTAACATGACAGTTTCAGGCTTTTTAAACGTGGCTCTCGGAAAAGCATTAATGCCCATCAGCTTATTGTGTTTAAAGTAATTCTGAAACTGGGTCATTCTAACCTCGGGTGGAAAATGGTGTCCTACAACTTTGAAGGCATGAAAATGAGAAATGAAAATAAAAAAATAAGCCACAAAAAGTTGAGGACTGGTTATTCTTTGTTTCGTTCCTAAACTGTCCAACAAAAACTGTGATAATTCTTCTTTTTGATTTTTGCTTTTAACGATTTTTACTTGTGCATGAAAAACAAGTCATACCAGTGACTTCACAAATGCAGTTTTGTTTTCATGTAAAACATCAATTTTGATGCTTGTTTATTCAGTTTAAATTGTAGAAATGCATAACAATTACTGTCTTATTGCCTTGTGGTAAAATAATTTAAATATATAAATTAAATGTTATTTTGATAATTAATCCCAAGCAAGATTTTTTGTCAATGGTGTTACAGAAACATAACATAAAAACAAACAAACAAACAAAAAATATTTTATATATTTCCAATATCAAAGGAAGAAAGACTAACTTAACTTGAAGTCCACGGTTAGTAAAATCAGTTTTAAATTCTGACATGCCAAAATATTGACAGCTTAATCTGTCGTAAAAACATTGTCAGTGGTGTCACTCATGAAACTCTAAGTGATTTAAAATTTTAAAACTGAATAAAAACAATGCACCATTTCTACATTTTCTACATACAGTATGCCTTTAAAACTAAAGTGGCAGTGGATTATTTTTTTGAAAAGCTCAGATTTTAGTAATTCAGTCAGTGGTGTTATGATCAGCGGTGTTACGGCTGATGTTACTTTTGTTGTTTAATGTAAACAGGTAACTTGCTTGAATATTTGTGCTCACATCAATGTTTGTAGCCTGTTAGCCACCGTGATGGTGCAATGGCCCAACTATCTTCACTGACATGTAGGAAGTCAGCAACAGGAAAAACATGCATTATAAGTCACTTATAAACTTATATGGTACTGATAACTGATGACAGTGGAAGCTAACTGGCTACCAGAGAATGTTAGTAAAATTAAGAGAAATTCTTTTAATTTTATCTTTATTTCTATTATAATTTGTACACAAATACACAAATTATTATTATATAATACAACATACAACATATTATTATATAATACAACATACAACAACAATATATATATATATATATATATATATATATGTTAACAGAAATGTTTGGTGATATGAAATACCATTTAATTACATTTTTATTGAATTAATAGCATAATATAAAAAATATAATTACATTATACATAATTATATAATTGTTATAATTTCTTCAACATGTTTACTAGCTAGCCAGCTTCCTAGCTAACCCATTTTCATTAACTAATTAAACGGTATTTCTCATCACTACCATGCTGGTTCGATGGACAGTGTTATGAAATACCAGTGAAATACCAGTTTTAGTGATATGAAATACCTTTTTAACATTTTATTAGTTAATATTAATAAAAAACGGGCTAGCTAGTAAGCTAGCTAGCTAGTGAAAATGTTTAACAAATATCATAATGTTAAAAAATAAAAACAACAAAACATTGAAAAGCACAACAATAAACGTCTGATATACGTTGTAGGCACATAAAGTACAATTTAAATGTATTAATTTATTAATAAAAATAAAGTCGGCTAGCTGCTCTGTGTCCTAGCAACGCGGTCAAGTAAGTTAAAGGGGGGCGCGGCGCCCGCGCGCCTCAACAAAAAAAGCTAAAAAGCAACAACAGCAACAAAACGAAGGAAGGAAGACAGAAAGAAAAAGAAAAGAGGGATAAAAAAAAAAAGCGGGATCAGCAGGTTTAGTGTCTGTTTGGTGGCTGTACACACGACCTAAAAGGTGCCAGACTAGGTCGGAAACGTGAACGACAGATTTTTTTCCAACGTCAGCGACACCCACCAACGTTACAGCACCGAGGGAGGGAGGGAGGGAGGGAGAGACTCTGCTCATCAGTTCTCACTCTGCCCAGCCTTGTTCGGAGCTCTGTCGGAGCTAAGTCAACTTTAAACCAACCAGTTTTTAACAGATGAAGATAAAGGCGGGTGCTGAGCTCCACAGACCTGAGGACCACCCTAACATTAGCACATTTTCCCCTCGCCTCAGACGAAGGAGGACGCCGGTCTCTAATGTTAAGTACTACCGCGAGTGAGGGGTGAGTTAACGTCAACTGTTAGGTAGTTCAGTGACATTAATTTCGGGTGTCTGCGGTGTTTTTAAAAGCAGATAAAAGTGAAAACATGTTTTTCGTGTGATTTTTCACATTGGGAAACACAACGAGGTGAAAACCGCTCTTTTATTCGAACTTTTCCAGTTCCACCTTAAAAAGGGCGGCAGTTACGCGTTCTGTACCTGCTGCGCTGCGGGCGGTTGATGTGCCATTTAAGGTGGAACGGAAAATTCGAAGAGCTTTCAGCTTCGTGGAAGAGACAAAATTCGTACACTAATGCTTAATATTTCTACAAAACGTAACCGTTTATCCACATTTTTAGTCTTTTTCTCTGTAATAGGAGATGTGTAACTTTAGTGTTTGGTTTGAGAGTTTGGTGAGGAAAAAGAAGAAAAACGCGGGCTGGATGTTTGGTGAAAGAGGAGCGGTTGAGGCTCAAAATGGCAAAATCTGTCATTTTTTTTCAGTGCTGTGTCTTAAATAACAAGCCATAGTGATGATTTATTGAAATGTAGAAATTGTAGACACTCTGCTAACCACTTCCTTACATATGTAAAGTGTTGGCAGATGGCATGCGATTAGAAAGAAGTGTGTGTGAGTGTGAGTGTGTGTGTGTGTGTGTGTGTGTGTGTGTGTGTGTGTGTGTATGTATGTATGTATGTGTATGTGTGTGTGTGTGTATATATATATATATATATATATATATATATATATATATATATATATGAAATATATAATGTGTGTGTATGTTTGTTCTTTGCATAATTTGAAAATGCCTGTTGCCCTTTACATTTATGGCCAAAAATGACTTTGTAGGAAAAAGTCTGCTTCCATTGACTTACATTAAAAGTAAAGTTTTTTTTTCCTTAGAGATACTAGGTTTTTATCTATCTATCTGTCTATCTATCTATATATATATATATATATATATATATATATATATATATATGTATGTATATATATATATATATATATATATATAATACACCGATCAGGCATAACATTATGACCACCTCCTTGTTTCTACGCTCATTGTCCATTTTATCAGCTCCACTTACTATATAGGTGCACTTTGTAGTTCTACAATTACAGACTGTAGTCCATCTGTCTTTTACCCTGTTCTTCAGTGATCAGGACCCCCATGGACCCTCACAGAGCAGGTACTATTTGGGTGGTGGGTCATTCTCAGCACTGCAGTAACACTGACGTGGTGGTGGTGTGTTAGTGTGTGTTGCGCTGGTGCGAGTGGATCAGAGTTTTTAAACCCCTCAGTGTCACTGCTGGACTGAGAATAGTCCACCAGCCAAAAATATCCAGCCAACAGCATCCTTTGGGCAGCGTCCTGTGACACTGATGAAGGGACTAGAGGATGACCAACACAAACTGTGCAGCAGCAGATGAGGTGTGTGTGTGTGTGTGTGTGTGTGTGTGTGTGTGTGTGTGTGTGTGTGTATATATATATGAATGATTAGAGACTTATTTCTATTTTATCTTGTTCAGTATGTAACCTAAATACAGTTAAAGTTTCAAAAAGTACTATTCAGTTCCTACTCTGTACGGAAACTAAGCTGTGAAAACAGCTCATTTTGTTGGTTTTGTGATGTCACAGAAAACCAACTCATTTACACACATCTTTCTACTCACACCGAAGTTATAAGCAGTGTTTCAGCCTCCTTTTATAATGAGGGAACCAATCAGAACAGAGCTTTGTTACATATGTCCATCTTAAAGGCCCAGGAACCTGTCAGACTCCTAAGGGATAAAGAGAGGTTGGAAATTTATCGTTATTTGGCCTCATTCTCTCCCTGACTTTGTTCTTAAACATGTTCTTGAGAAAGTTCCTAAGAAAGAGTCTACGTCAGATTCGTGACGTGTTCTTAAACTGCGGAGTTGTTCACGCCTTTGTGCTCTTCACTGTGTGTAGATTCTGTTCTTACCTAAGAACAAATTCCAGATGAGAGGACACTGGTAAATGTCAGAATCTTCTCACAAACTGCATAAGTGGGTTTTAAGAAGAAATTTCTTCTTAAGCACGGTTTGTGAATGAGGCCCAAAGAGATTACAACTGGTTTTGGTACGTAAACCCACAGAAACGTCACAACTGGACCTACAGTGCAAGAAGAATGTGGAATATGTGTCCGTTTTGTGGGGCTCAGCATTGTTCCGTGTTATACTGTCTAACTCTGCTGCCTCTGGTCATTCTCATCATTCACTTTCATATCAGTTCTGAGATCTATGTCTTTAAGAAACTGCTGATAAGATTCTTGTGGGTTCCGGTGGAAGAACGTCTCTCACAGCATTTAGTCAGCTGTTCTCAGGAGCTGAGTTGTAAGCAAGTGTAAGTGCTGTAAGCGTCAGTTTGTCGCATTAGTTTTGAGCCCGGGGAAACAGAATTGTTAGCAGCTTTAGCGATGTCAGTGGAGGATGATGCATGAAGGTTCGAATGTAATTGCACCCAAGAGAAGCAAGAAAGGGTCCCGTATAGTACCAAACAATAGTAGAACGCTTTTTAATGCTTTGTTGATCCATTTACAGCAAGTTTTCCATCATAGAGAAGAACCATTTTGCATTCAGATGGTTCGCAGTTCTGTATACAATCATCACCATTTACTAAAGACCCTTTGAATATTTGCTTTTTCCTACACTCTCAGAAATAAAGGTACCAAACTGTCACTGGCGCAGTGCCCCTCTTGTCACTGGGGTGGGACCCTCAAGCGTACATCTCAGTACCTTTAGTCAGGGAACATAACTGTACCATAATCCACTGAAATTATATTTTCTAAGCTGTACTGACTCCACACACCCCGTCTCGTCTCCAGGCTTTTATTTTGTTGTTCTGTTTTAAAACATTCGGTTATGAAAAGGTACAAATACGAACGTTTCAGCTGGATAAACTTATTTAAGGTTCACAATTGGACCCTAAAACCACTGTTGTACCTTTAAGGGAACATTTGCACTGTTTGTACCTTGATGAACGAAAAATGTTCCTGAACAGAACCTTTATTTCTAACAGTGTACCAACTAAAGCTTCAGAGGACCTTGATCGGGTGACCGAGGGAAAGGACAGATGTACCACCAGGAGAAGGGTTGGTGACCACTGAGCTAAGGCATTCGTTTGCACGCTGTATCTTCACATAAGAGTGTGTCAAAGCCTGTTTATAGTACTCTCTCTCACACTTGTTTTTTTTCCTTGCATGTTGAGACCAGTAAGTGTAAGTGTAAGGCAGTTGTCAAGAAATATGATCATGTAGGCCTCAAACGGAGATGACCAGATAGATGACCAGTGATGCTTGGCTGTCCAAACAGAAACATCATATTTTTGAAGTAGTGTTGTAATAGCTTGGCCTTATTTCAGCATCACTTCTAGTGTTCCAACAGGAAATCTAACTGATTTTAACCCATTAATGTTCATTATTTCATGATTATGTTTTAATTTTCATTAGTGCATGTGTTCTTGAGCTCGCCTGAGCATAGTCTCACGGAGCCAGATGTGGTCTCGTAATTGAGAATACACATCTGGAGAACCCCTGTTGAACTTTAGGTGCAAAATTGCAACAAAATCCGCCATTGACAGGGATACGGCCCCCTAAAACACCAACGCCCAGTTCCTCTATTTCTCTTTTAACATTCGCTGTTAACTGTTAACCTGCCAGTTATTTGTGGATGTGATTTAATGTCATTAGGTAAAATTTCCCTACTTAAAACTTGCGTTCTATCAACATTATGGATAATAGACTGTAAGACTACAACAAAAAAATTGCAGCTCTTGCAATTTGAAAATTGCACTCTTTCACATTGCAATTTTGATATAAAAATGATTGATCTTTCAGCCCTACCTGCTGATTTTTAAAGAAATTCCAAATTTGATTGGGAATGGAAGTATGAAAATGGCATGTTATCAAACTAATTCAAATGAGTATTGATAGACGTACTTCTAAGATGTAACCGCACCAAATTTAATCACTTTAGTCCGGTCTGAAAAAATTTCTGTAGCATTTTTTTCCTCATCATACTAAATTTACTCATTGGACATGAATGGATTAAGAAAGTCACTGAGGATTTAATTCTTCTATTACGTTGTGATATAATGCAGATCATTGTTAAGAGACCATAATCAGATCATGTTGCTACAAATTTGGTGATTCCAGCTTCTCTTTTCATGAACAGGATGTTGTAATATGCCATATGTTTGGTTGCAGAAGCGCCTTCTTTTCAGCGTTGCATATTTTTCCTTGCTGTCACTCAGATCAGCAGAGAACTTGTCCCTGCAACAGTTGAGTTGTATTGTTTGGTGACTTTTGGTGAAGGAAGGATCTATGAGGAAAAAACCCTAACTTGCCTCTATCAGGGCATCATGAGGCCATGAGCGTTTGCTTGCTTAACCTGAAAATGATGTCAGGCTTTCTAAACAATTGATGACATGAGTCAAGTGCTTTAAAACGGGATGTGTGAAACTGTACTGTGTAAAAGGCAGAGACCACCCTTCATTTATTTCATTTCCAGATAAAAAAAAGTCATTAAGTACAGGTTATTCATTTTTCAGGCGATATTTCTGAGGAGATTAGATAGAAGACAATCCACTTGCATAAGGAGGAGTTAAAAATAAGTTAAGGAGTTTCTAAAACTGGAGTTAAAAATAGATATAGAGAAAATTGGATTCCTCACAAGCACCTGCAAGACCTTGCAGACCACCAAAACTGTTTCCATCAGATAAACAGCATTTAAAGCTTTTGTCTTTGAGAGTCCAGACCTCAACACTGAATGTGTTTGATTACTTGGATCATGAGAAGCAAGAAATGCAACCAACTTCTAAGGCTGAACTTTGGAGGTGCGGAAATATATGCAGATTTCTTTAAAAAACTGAAAGAGTCCCCGCTCTAAGGCGCGATCCCATTTCTTATTTTTATCTTTCCTACAAAATGGGACCCTCAAATAAAAAGAGCATTACTTCATTAACAGCTACCAGCGCTGCTCTGTAGGCGACGCTGCCAGTCTGCAGTGATAACAGAGGAGGGTAAAGTTCAGCTCCTGACTGCTGGGCTTCAGTTACATTCAGGACATCATGTGCCTTCAAAGAGCGCACTTATTTATTATAAGCCACTTATAATTCTGCAAAGATATGAAGCTGAAGTCAGATATTCGCCAGATTCTTGTTTGAATTTTCCCGTTCCACCTTAAATGGAGCAGCAGGTACATTGTGGCGCTTCAGGCATCGGTACTGCTGAACTATTTAAGGTGGAATGGGTAATTTAGCTAGCTAGCAACCGAGACATCAGCATACTAAGGTTTTTTTTTATGCTTGTTATGAAGAAAAGAACCATAATACATTGAAATGACATTAAACTAAGATAATATAATGGTTATCGTAATTATTAACAGAAAATTCTCACATTTGTGGGTTTCTTTGGTCTCTTGTGCAGCCATCTTGCGGGTTTTTCTCTTTTTTTTGTCATAACACTCTGTTTGGAGTGTGACTCTGAAAAACCTCCATTTGAAGGGCCATCTAGCCCAAACACTTAAGCCTACCCCTCTATCTCAACAAAAATCAGGACACCTACCCCTCGATGTGAGTGCGCAAAACGGAGGGGGAAGGGCTCAGTGGTAGGGGCGAGGGGTGAAATGGGATTGGGCCTAAATACCGAAAAACATATGTTTAGTTGTTCAGTATCAGAAACCATACGAGTAATATCTATGTGATATTAACAGATTCTTATGAATTGAGAAGTGTATGAGGTAAGTGTATTTTAACAAGTTTTGTTATTTTATGTACAATAATAACATTATGTAATACATAGTTTTATTCAATATTTCAATAATTCTGTGAGTGAGAAATGAATAAGTTGATCTTTTAAAATGCGCTGTAATCATCTGTTTACTCTATAATCATCTAGTTACTTCATAACTTGCTCTCAATGTTACACAGCTGTCTGTGTTTTAAAGCTTTCTACAGCTCCGTTCATCAGCAAGACATGTGTAACGTTTAATTAATGTGTTTTCAGCTTTCTGGTGCCCAAATGATTATTTGAAAACTGAACTGGTTTTATAACTATTGCTTTTATACAACAGTTAAATAAATAGAGTAGTTCCTTAACGAGCAGCTTGTTGCTACGTCAGAGTAACGAACTCTCGCTGCACAGTCTGCTGTAAGCCTCGCCTTTTGAACTACGGACTGAGTCATAAAACTGCCGCAATATCAAGTTTAGCTCAGTTTTGTCCATTTTTGCCAGATCACTATTAATGTTGTTTTGTTCCAGCCAGTCTGTAAAGCATCTTACAGCCCATTTAGTTTGGCGAATGGTATTGGGTTCATTTCTGGCTGAGGTCCAGGTGTTTAGCTGTTCTTCTGTCACAGCTGCCGACTGAAAAGCTGCTCAGTGGTGATGACAGTTTGGGAATTTAGTGTGGTCTCATCTTCAGAGTCTGACCAAATCGGCTGTTGGTCAAATGTGATCTTAAAAGTGTCCATTTTCTGTTTGTGGCAAAGTAAGAAGTAAAAACGTTCAAATGGCTTGAGCGCCCCCTACAGCTGTCAGTGTCTCACACCAGCACACCCACACTAACACACCACCACCATGTCAGTGTTACTGCAGTGCTGAGAATGATCCACCACCCAAATAGTACCTGCTCTGTGAGGGTCCATGGGGGTCCTGACCACTCAAGAACAGGGTAAAAGGGGGCTAACAAAGTATGCAGAGAAACAGATGGACTACAGTCTGTAACTGTAGAACTACAAAGTGCACCTATATAGTAAGTGAAGCTGATAAAATGGACAATGAGTGTAGGTCATAAGGAGGTGGTCATAATGTTATGCCTGATCGGTGTATTTTCTACTGTATTTTTATGTATTTTTATTATTAACGTTTGATTTTTTTTTATACTTGCCTGATTTGAGTCATGACACATTATTTGACACATTATCAGTCCCTTTTCCTGTATCAACTCGGCAACATTGTAAATGAGGGTCACCCTCGGTGTTCTCCGAGGTTAAATAAGGGTCGATTGATTATTATTGTTTCAGTATTTTTTATGTTTCTATTTTGTCTGTGCCAAATTATTCAATCTCAGAAAAACTAAATGTTCTGATTCAACAATCATAAAAAAATGTCTTAAAGTATTGTGATATAATATTTTTGCCATATCGCCCACCTCTAATCTTAATGATATGATTGTGCACAACCTTCGAAACATCAGTGGAGTTCACCTTTTACAGGCACTACCAGTCAACCAGCTAAGTCAGCCAATGCATGACAAATACAGAAAGCACTCAGATGGTCAGCCAGGACTCCTAGTTATGTGCCTTTGACGGACTGCCTTGTTTACAGATGTGTTTGGCCGTTGCCTGAGGGATGAGCTCGGTGCTGTTATTTGATACACACACTTGTCTCATGCAACGTTTATGGCGAACAGAAGTTTTAAGTTCAAGTCGCTGCTTGAAATGTTTTGACACGTTGCTCAGTGATGGTTCCACGGAAAAACAAGCTGCTTTGTTTCTGAGTTGTTGTTGTTGTTGTTGTTGTTGTTGTTGTTGTTGTTGACTTTACACTTTGCTCATGTTGGCTTCTTGTGTATTCTCGAGGTTGGTTGCCCAGTGATTTAAAGCATGTAACCTACATGTTCTTCAGTAGTACTTCTATTTCAGAGGAAATATTCTGATGGACAGTTAGGCTAACACTTAGTTAGTACTTAGTTGTCAGTTAGTTGAGTTTGTACTCACCGTCCACTTTGAAACACAGTTTGTCATCCACACCAAGCATGTGGGAAGGTGTTTTAAGTTGGGAGTGCTGAAATTAGTAGCATATCACTGTTGTCAGAATAAAAATTGAAATTTGAGGTTTTGTCGTTTTTCAGTTTTTGACTTAATTTGGAAATACCTGTTGCCCTTTACATTGAATTGTGAATTTCATGAAGAATGGACCAAAAGAAAGTGACTTGGAAAAAAAGTCTGGTTCCATTGACTTACATTAAAAGTAAAGTAGGTTTTTTCCTTCTCCTGTAAAGTTACCATTTTGGAGACTTTTCTCCTGACAGCAGCGATATATATCATACACACACACACATACACTATATGGCCAAAAGTATGTGGACA